TAGGGAATCTGTTAATTAACTTTCTGCTTGTGCTTCAGTTGAAAATGTTTAAAAAGGTTTGGTCCCAGTGGCCATTTAAGCGTTAAAAACTTGTTCAACATCATAAGTATATAATTAAGACTAAGTAAAACTGGGCTTTAAGTCAGGCAAAAAATTTATTTTGTAATTTAAATATTCCCAAATGTAAATTCAAAATTAAAGATGTCACTTACACAAATTTTAATTTACCCAATTTAAATATTATATATACCCAACACATGAATTACAATATTTTAAGCTATAGAATAGGACTATACCTTTTCATGTGTGTATTTGATACTAGGGACTGCATCCAAGGCCTTATGCATGCTAGATAAATACCTACCACTGAGCTGCATCCCAAACTGTTTTTTTCTTTTTTTTTTTGAGACAAGGTTTGACACATCTTATTCTTAATATACCCTGCAGTTAAAGGTTAATGTGGCGTAAAACAAAGTCACTCACTAGTCTGAATTATGATTTTTTTTGTTGCAGTAACTGTTGTTTGTTATACAGTATATCTGATCATTGTAACAATAGGGTTATAAAATACAGTAGTAGTTTTTAAAGAGTCTAAACTTTTACAAAATAGTTGCATTCCAGTGAAAATATAATACCTAGCTTCAGATCTTAAAAAAAAGACTTAAAACACTATTCTTCATCTTCCTGATCCTCAATTACAGCATTGACCAAGAATTTAAACATAGTAATCAAGGGGAAGAAACTTCGAGGCAGGATTAATGAACTTTATTTTTTGTCTCCTTTTTTACTTTTCAGAATTAAGCTGTCTGCTGGGACCTCTGGGGAAAAAAAATGCAATTAATACAGTGCAGTGGTTAAACTTAATTATGCCCACACTAGTAAAGCACACTTCTGGGTGTTTCTGAGTGTGTCATGGAAGTATGAGCTTGAGTACTGTATCTGGCTCCTTGCCCCTTTCTGGTATTGTTTCCCTACTTTCTTCCCAGCCACCATGAACTAAGCAGTTTTGTTCCATTGTGATCTTTCACCATGATGTGTCTGTCTTGGAGCTAGCCAGCCATCGACTGAGTCTCCTGAAACTGAGCTAAATTACACCTGTCTTCCTCTAAGTTGTGGGTGTCAGGTATTATTCCATAGTGACAGGAAAATGACTAATAGAGACAGTAATGATTTTGTCAAGTTAATCTGTTAATTTCTTAGACATTTTTAATGCACTCTGCATTGAGAGATAACAATGGAATGGTGGCCCAACAAGGAATCAGAACTACTAACATTTATGTGATTACTGTATGGGCAGTTGGACCTGCCTCTGATGACTTCAGCAAGTAAAAAGAAGAGCAAAAATGGTGTAACCAACTCAGGACAGTGAGCTAGCCATAGAAGAATCATGCTAGATATAATAGTCATTTGCCAGGAACACAGTATATGATGAATATGTACAGCTTTGAAAAGTGATATCTTCCAAGCAACAAAACATTAGTTCCTCAGGGTCAAATATGTACCAAAGTCCCAAATAATACTGAATACCTGTTACTAAATCTAGTTTTTATGATGAGGATATGCCATTCCTCTTAATATAGCATCCTACAATGTGTTGGACCCACCTAACCTATACTTAAAGTAAGTATCTCATAGAATAGAGTAGGAGAAGAAAAGCAGGCTAGCTAATTGGCTGGTGGGGCAGGACTTTTGTTCTGCACATTCTATCCTGGTATTTAAAAGTCAAATGGTCTGAGAAGGTATGTTCAGATCTCATACATACATAAATTACAAAAGTAAAATACTGTAGAATCTTCAGCTACTATCTTTATCAAGTAATACAGGAGCAGCTCTTCAGTCTTCCAAAAACCCTTTAGTCATCTAACCGTAAGTGGGAATGGTTATATTTTCAGACCACTGTCCTCTGTATCCATACGCTATCACATGCTGGCCTCTGAAATCTATTTGAGAGTCTTAACACGTAAACTAATTATTGGAAGAAGAAATAAAGCTCTCAGCACTTGAAGCAAAACTTTCTTTTCTCTTTTATAACTATTTTCGTTATAGATTGTTAAGTGTAAGAGTGCAGAATGTTGACATTTCAGTGTCATATTTGGTACAACCAAAGGTTATCCTGACTTTATTTTTTAACTGCTTTTTTTCCAGGTGGGGGGGGGGGATATGGGATTATAGTTCTGAATAGCTATAGAAGCAATTTGGCCTAACCACATTTCTGATAATTTTTGGTAGGAGTTCTGCCAAATATATGAGGTCGTATGTGGAGAAAAGATATAATTTAAACATCACACAAGCTGTCCTCTTTACTTGGCAAGTGCTCTTTTTCTCTCTTGAGACTGGGCAGTGGCATTTCTACCTTGTAGGAATCACAATTTCTTTTCTAAGTGGACTGCTTAAATTAGACAGGATGAGTCAGAGGAGATAAGGGCATTTCCTGCATGACTGACATGGATTATTTACTCCAGAGAGACCCAAGTAACTTTTTTATGGGCAGATCTGGAAACTGCTATTGGGCAGTTTTTATATAGTTTGCAGTAGTAATTTGTGTGTGTGTGTGTGTGTGTGTGTGTGTGTTTTGTTTTGTTTTTAATCATTTCCCTTTAACAGAGCAAGAAAGGACACATTCTGAATTTTGCATAGAATGTTTGATCATAGAAAAAAATCATTATTGCATTATTTCTTAAGTTTTTGTTTGGATTTTGAAATATTTCAGCATGCAAAAATTCTGTTGCATTGTTTATTGAATCCATTAGCACTTTACTGTAAAATGCGTTAAACTGGTTTGAAATCCCTTTTTGATTAAGAACAAGAGCCTAAAATAATTCAATATATCCAGTCAAAGTAATGATAGTGAACTAGTAATCATTCTAAATTCCATTTTCACATAAGGAATATGACCTTTTCTTTAAGGTCATTTATCATATTGTTGGTAGTCACACATCTTCATTCTAGTTTTCAATCCAAAGTGGGTACTTGATCACTTAAAGCATCTTTTGGTCTTGAAGCACATGTGTGACATTCTGTGATGGCAGCTGCATACACAAACACAAGGGGGATGAAAATAAATTGCACAAACCCATTTTGAAAATCTCCAAGATGGTTTTCTTATCATTGTGTCTCTAAATATAGAGAAAACCATGCTTAAAAAAGAAAAGAAAATGAAGTAGGGATGTTTTACTTGGAGTCCTAGAGGGTGTGATAAAAAACCATGATGAGATGGTTTTGTCATTGATGTTCAGAGTGTATATACATTGAAAGGAATGTTGCCTTTAAAGGCTACACTTCGCAGTTCTTTTTAAATTTTTAAACTTTGCACAGTGAATATGCATTGGAGATCAGAAATAAAATACAATTCTCGTGTGAGAAATAGGTGTTTGTGAAAAAATTCCCCCAGTGAGTATGCATTGGAGATCAGAAATAAAATACAATTCTTGTGTGAGAAATAGGTGTTTGTGAAAAAATTCCCCCAGTGAGTATGCATTGGAGATCAGAAATAAAATACAATTTTTGTATGAGAGATTGGTGTTTGTGAAAAAATTCCCCCACTCTCTTTAAACCTGCTGGATTGAGCACATCATCTGTGACTGGCTGTATCATTACTGCCTGTCCTAGGCAGGAAATTTCAATGTAGAACTAGTACCATGAGCCTGCTTATTGGGGTCTGAGAGGATTTAGGAGCTTTCCACAGCAGCACCTCAGTGTTTAACTATTATCCTTAAAAGAAGTATATGGATTTTCTTAATTTGAAGTTATAATAATTGATTCACTTTTTTCTAGTTTCTTTAGCCAGTTCCAGGTTCTATAAGATATCCTCTAATAAGGCAAACTCTGATCTCTTTAAAGTTTGTTTTCTGTGAGGTGCATGAAGTAATCAGTGTTGCTGTCAAAAGTGATACTAGGCCTTGTTTCTTTTGACTGGAAGATTATTGAGCTCCTTATTCCTCAGGTGAGTCTGAGGTATCCTGTTGAGAAAAATGCCAGGCTACTGACAGGCAGCAGGCGCAGACCTTGTCTCTTGAGCCCTGGAAACACTGAAAGTGGCCAGCATCCTGGCAGTGTTGTGCAGCCAGCAACAGCTGCTGTGCATCGAGCACACAGTGCTGTGGCTCTTCAGTGTGCTGTGATGTAAGAACCTGGCCCGACTCTCTTCCTAAACACCAGCTGTGACCCACTTTTACGGACCCGGCCAAAGACTGTCCCGAGAGCTGTCAGGTGCAATTCTGGAGCAGAAATCATTAGATAATTTACTCCCAAAGGAAGTCCAGGGAGTAGTTATTCATCTAGGGTAAGGGGAACAGAAAAGAAATGTAGAACAGGTGTGTTATTTAAGAAAAACACAGAACTAGTGTGACAACTGAAAGAATTTCAGAGTCTTGGCTGTGAGTCAGGTACTTGGAATTATATAAGGATTTATCAGTCACTGTTTAAAAAAATATCAGATATCTTCTGTGAAATGAGTGAAGAGAGCTAACCAGGATGAGGCAGATTTAGTAATTAATTCTATCATCACATCTCTTGGCCAAGAAAAACATGCACTTTTTCCAGAGCCAGAATTTTTCTTCTATTCCAAGTGAAAGAACACACAAAGTATATGTAGTACAGCCTTTCAGATGAGCAGTTTTCACTAGCAGTTTTTTTGTGACTTACTCATAAAAAAGTGAAAAAAGAAATTGTGAGGTAACAAGTCATTCTGTATCAGAAATAGCATCTCTCTAAAAACAAATTGGTCCTGTGCTCAGTCCCTTGCTTCAGTGCAGAATACTTGGTCTGGTGTCAGTACACTAAACCAGCATGCCCTCGCTATCTCCCAGAGTGGCGGCTGGGTGTGACAGTATAAATGTGCAATGTAATGTAAGCTGTTTCTCTTTATAATACTGAAAGTGTAGGTAGTGATTAGAGCAACTTCAGGCTTTGCTCAGTTTTCTTTGAGTTAGGAGGCATAAAGAGTATGTAAATTTCTCATTTCAGATTGACCTTGACTTTCCTTATTTTTTTCACCTCAGATCATCCAGCCCCTCTTAGAACTTGACCAAAACAGAAGTAAGTTAAAGTTGTATATTGGACACCTGACCGCCCTCTGCCATGACCGAGACCCCCTCATCCTTCGTGGACTCACTCCACCAGCTTCCTACAACTTGGATGATGACCAGGCAGCTTGGGAGAATGAGCTGCAGAAGATGACCCAGGAGCAGGTCAGCCTCTCACTTGAGCTTTGACAAGAACCTACCAAGGACAACTGCTGTTTGGGTTCATACGTAGGAACTGTGTCTGGGAGTACAGTGTTTAGATTCAAGATTCTTTTCAGGGAAGGAGGTGGTTCCAGATACCATTTTTCAATTGATTTATACTTTTAATTTTTTTTTTCAGTGCTGGGGGATTGAACATAGCTTTGCACATGCTAAGCAGGCTCTCTACCACTAAGCTATACCCGCCTAAATTTATTTTTAAACTAATGAAAAAGATATTTACCATATACAGTGAGTTATCTTGAAATATGTGTAAAATTGGGCCGGGGATATAGCTCAGCAGCACAAGCACCTGCCTGGCAAGCGTAAGGTCCTGAGTTCGATTCCTGGTACCCAAAAAAAAAAAAAAAAGAAGAGGAAGGAAAAGAAATATGTGTAAAATTGTTAAGTGGAGCTATTATATATTACCTCACATACTTTTTTGTGATGAGAACACTAAAAATCTGCTCTGTTAACAGTTTTCGTATGACATTGTTATTAACAGTAGCCTGTTGTATAATAGATCCCTTGAATGTATTCCTCCTATTTTATGGAAATTTTGAATCTTTTTACCAACATTTTCCCATCCCACACCACCCTCCCTACCCGTGGTAACCGCCAGTATTTTCCTAGAATCAAGCTTACTAGCCATCAGAAGACTTCAGCAGATATTCCATATAACCTTTTGAAGGAAATGTCACTTCATTCTCTCAGTAGTGTGCTCATATATCACAAACAGCTGGTTAGGAAGGAAAGTTAAGAACAGTCTGTTAACCTGCCATAGGTTATCACATAAAAGTCCAGGTCAGAGGTTATTTGAGTAAGGGATTTTTGACAAGTCAGTAGCATAGATCTTCACTTGTCTTTAAGGAACTGTGGATTACAACAAACTGTTAGGGCTTTGAGTAAAAGAACTATTAATTCTTTAATCCCAGCACTTGGGAAGCTGAGGCAAGAGGATCACTGTGAGTTCAAGGCCAACCTGAACTGCATAGTGAGACCCTGTCTCAAGAAGACCTCCAAAAAAGAGCTATTCATTTATGTCAGCCTTTTTCTTAGTACATTCACGCTGCTATAACAGAGAACCATAACCTGGGTATCTTAATAAATAACAGAAATTTATTCTCACTAGAAGCTGGAAATCCCATATATAGCAATAAAAAATTGAGGTAAACCATATTTATTGATGTCTGGAAGTAAGCATTCCTCTGCTTCTATCATGTCATAAGCACTGAGAGTGGAGTCAAAAAAAGTCACTACGTGAGCTGGGTTTGGGTTCCTTTTTGCCATAGTTTAATTACACTATCTGCTCATTCAGAGGTTTTAGATTTTATGCTGTCATATGTGGGTTTTTTTGGTTTTTTTCGGGTACCAGGAATCAAACTCACGACCTTGCGCTTGCCAGGCAGGTGCTGTGCCACTGAGCTAAATCCCCAGCACCCTCAGATATATCTTTTTAAATCAAGTTATTTTGAAGTGATGTAAGACCATAAAAATTATACACACTAATGGGGTACCATGTGATGTTTCAGTACAGGTGCACACTGTAATGTTTAAATAAAGTTAAATATACCTGTCCACAGCTATCATTATGATGAAAACATTCAAAATCCTTTCTTCTAGCATTTTAAATGTATAGTACATATGCTGGATATGAGTTGTAGAATGCCAGATTTCTTTTTCCTGCTTCCTCCCAGCTTTCAGCAGCCCCGGGCTGCCTGTATCACAGAGGGCTCTCTCTTCATGCTTCTGCCTCTCCAGGCATTCAGTGTGTGACTCATGGTGGGGACAGAAGGAATCTCTTCATACCTGACTCCAGCCTCCGTCTCAGGGTTCCTGACAGACAGCATCTTCACTCTGCAATGCAGGTTTAGACTGCAGCCTGATTTTCTCTCCCTTTCCCATTAGCAGGAGACTTCTATTTTGAATCAGTCCATAATGTGGGGGCCTAGTGGACTTCCTGTCTCTTTCCTGGTGACAGTTTGCTTTTGCTTTATGTCAATACAAGAAGTGGGGTGCATTTTCTGTGCCTTCTTTTGTAGCAGTAGTCTTTGTCTACGAACAGGGGCAGCAACAGTTTCCTTCCCTTCCCCCAGCCACACACAGCTTTTCCTGTCAAAGCAAGCGTAGGCTCTGGGCTCTGAAAGCTTTCCCTGCCTTGCCATGACACATGCTTTTTGTGGTGAGTCATGTCCATATCTTCTCTAGCATCTGGTCCTGCTGGAGTTTACACAGGACCGAAACTGGGATAGATGGCTCCAGTGCTCCTCCTAGAACAGGACCCTTACTTGCACACAGAGGAACTCGCTCAGGCTTCCTTCTCTGCACCCAGCGTTTCAGCAAGGTCTCAGCAGAGACCATTTGAAGAGCTGGAGAGTGGATATAGACGCCTTCATGCCTGGTGCTCCAAGGCATTCTGCATGAGACTTTAGGGGATGGGGGCTGGTACATTGAGATATAAACCAGTTCAGCATTAGCATCAGCTGACATCCACCTGACTATAAAATGCATGAAAATTTCAGGTAAAACGTTTACAAAAAGCTTTTCCCTTGAATAAAAATACCGTCGTTTTTGGGGGGTTTTAAAAGTTCAAACATAGTTATTTCATGAGCTCAAAGACTTGAATCTTGATAGTTTGGGAGGGACAAATACAGTGTTAGTATTAATGTTTTATATGTTTTTTAAAAAGTTGTACTGAGCATATGCTGCACATCAGTTCCTTAGATCCAGAGAGATGCGGAACCATATTCATATAGGTAATCTTTCTTATAGCTGCTTTTATTCAGCTTTACCATGAGGTGAGGAAACACTTACAAGGCTCCAAAGGCTGTTCTATTCATGCACTGCTGTGCTGTACGCTATTTCCCTGCAACAATAAACTTTTAACTTTTCAACTTATCACCAGTACAGCAGGTTGTATAGTCATAAAGTTAATATGGTAGCTAACTTGGAGCATAATATTTTTCTTAGGTCAAAATATCCTATTTTGAATAATTTTTGTGTATTGTGATTTTTGTACACATTGGCAAGTGAATCAGTCTAAGTAGATTTGATTTTGGCTAGCCATAGTTAATTGTATATACTTTAAATATTTTGGTTTGCAGGTGGTTTCCTATCTGTAAATTCTACCCAGCATATGTTGTTTAAAGAATGAATTTGGAGCGCTTTACTTCGAACTCAGTTTTCTCAAAGTCCAACAGCTAAATAAACTTGGACCAGGTCAGAGTTAACAGACTTTATACTATAGCCCAGAAAAGATGTGTTTTTAAATATCTTGCATATGTGAAGGAACAGCCATTATTTTATTTCTTTGAGATAATTTTTTGTCTAGTTCACATTATTTCTTTCAAGTCATGAAATGAAGTTGGGACTCAGACTGTAGCTCTGTGGTAGATTTTATACTTAGCATACTTGAGGTTCTAGGTTCAATCCTTAGCAACAGAACATAAGTTATATTACAACTTACTATATTAGTCTCATTTTAAGGTTAAGGGGCAACATGTTTCAAAATGCTAGAATAAAGAAGCAGAAGCCAGTGTGGTAGCTCCACTCAGGAGGCTGAGTCTGGAGAATTATAAGTTTGTTGCCAGCCTGGGCAACTTAGTGCAACCCTGTCTCAAAGTGAAATTTTTAAAAGGGTAGGGGGCTGTAGGTCAGTAGAAGAGTGCTTTCCTAGCATGTACAAGGCCCTGGGTTCAATCCCCAGTGTCTGTCTCTGTCTCTATATCTCTATCTCTGTATCTCTCTCTGTCTCGGTCTCTGTCTCTGTCTGTGTTTTCCTCCTCCCCATATACTCACACATAAAAGAAATAAGAAAAAAGAAATTCCATTCTAAATAGTAACAGCTATCATAGTTGAACAAAGTGGTTTTGGAACACTGGTTCTCAGAGAGGTTGGGGTCCCTCAGAACCTCCTGAAAGAGTTCTCCTCTTCTACATTCCCATCCCCATAACTCAAATAATAAGAGAAAATAAGGATAGAAAAAAAAATAAAGTGAAGCCAGGAGTATGGAAGGAAATTTGATTTGTTTTGCAGTTAAGTCTCTCAGAAGATAAAATAAAGGAGTAGTTCCACATAACCATGATTTTTTTGTAGTCCTAGAATCTTGAAGAAATATGATTTAATTTCAGATATTAGCCAAAATGTGCATTTATTGCTAAAACTACCCCCTTAAGCAAACACAGAGATAAAATACCAAACTTGAGAGAACAAACTGGTAAACTGGACTTCAACAAAACTTAAAGTTTCTGTTATTCAAAACACTAGAAACATTCAGTTTTTATTATTAAAAAGATACTTTTAAAATCAATAACAAGAGAAAAAAATTACTTTTAAATTGGTCAGGATTTGAAGAGAGTCTTCAGGAAAGAAGATATATAAACATGAAATCATACACCAATGAAAACCACAATTAGAACTACAGTCTCACTAAAATGGCTAAAATATGGAGCAACTGAAACCTGATATATTGCTAAAAGTATAAATGACCTAATATTTTGGAAAACTATTGGCAGTTTCTTATTAAATTAGATGTACATGTATCTTACAACCTAACATTTTGGTACTTGCTCAAGTGAAATAAAAACATACATCCATAAAAAGACATGTAACATACAAGACTGTCATAACAGCTTTAGTTGTAAAAGCCCCAAACTAGAAACAACCCAAATGTTCACTAACAGAAGAGACTTTTTTAAACACTATATATAAAATAATAGAATACTACTGCACAATAAAGAGAATGAACTTGTAGCACAAGCACTGTTAGGAATGGATCTCTAATACATTCTATTAAGCAAAAGAAGCTAGATACAAATATATATAATTAGTATATGATTCTATTTACTGATATGACATTTATTAACAAGATAAATTAAAATTAGAGTAGTGATTACCTATAACAATTGATTGAAGGAGATACAAGAGAAGTTTCTGGGGGTGATATACACATAGTCTCTACTATGACC